GTCGTCGCCGTCGTCGTCACCGTCGTCGTCGACGTCGTCGTCGTCGCCGTCGTGGTCGGTTCCCTGTCCGTCCCTGTTGGGATCGGGTCGACGTTCCGCGGCCGCCCCGCCGATCAGCGCTGCCGCTGGCGAGGCCGACGGTCCGCGGCCGCCCCGCCGCTTGCCGGGGCCCGGCCTGCGGGGAAGAAAGGTATACCCCTCAAAAGGGGTTCGATCGAAGACGAAGAGGGCGGGTATCGAAGGTTTGAAAAATACGCGTTATTGGACACTCGAGCATATAAGGGCGAACAACATTAAAATTATTGTTGTTGTCGGTGTTGAACTCTCACTTCTGAAGAACAAGTATTGTTGATCCCCCCCGTCCGGTGCACATATTTTTTCTCAATTTAAGTGGCCCTTCCCGGGGCTCGCACCCTGTTATTATCAGGGAAACTCTTGGGGGTCAATATGTATCGTTGGCCCCCGGGTTATACAACAACAACAACAACAACAACAACAACAACAACGGCTCCCACCTGAGACTCCCTCACAATTTAGCCAGGACCCCCGCTCCCGCCCGAGACTTCCTTGCATGTTATTCAGGAGCCGCGCTTTCGCTTGGGACTTCCTCGCGATTTATTCAGGAATCGCTCTCCCGGCGCTCTGGAAACGCGCTCTCGCTTGAAATTTGCTTACAACCTACTGAAGAATAGCGTCCTTGCGGTGAAAAACTCTTCCATATATTCAAACGCCGCGCTCCCGACACCCAGGCACCCAGGAGTCGCGCTCACGTTTAGGACTCCCTCACAGATTACCTAAGAATCGGGATCTCGCTGCCCTTCGTGGCCCCGTTGCAGCCCTTCGTGGCCCTCTCGCTTTGTTTCGTGGCCCCATTGCAGCCCTTCGTGGCCCCCTCGCTGCCCTTCGCGGCCCCGTTGCAGCCCCCCGTGGCCTCCTCGCTGCTCTTCGTGGCCCCGTTGCAGCCCTTCGTGGCCCCCTCGCTTTGTTTCGTGGCCCCGTTCTAACCCTTCGTGGCCCCCTCGCTGCCCTTCGTGGCCCCGTCGCAGCCCTCCGTGGCCCCGTTGCAGCCCTTCGCGGCCCCCTCGCTGCCCTTCATGGCCCCCTCGCTGCTTTTCGTGGCCCCATATGCATGCCCTTCGTGGCTCCGCTGTCGCCCTTCGTGCCCCCCTCGCTGCCCTTCGTGGCCCCGTTGCTGCCCTCAGTGGCCCCGTCTTTGCCCTCCGCGGCCCAGTATACGTATGCCCTTCGTGGCCCCCGTTCGTTCGCGCCCGTTGTGGCCCCATGCGCATGCCCTTCGTGGCCCCGCTGTCGCCGTTTGTGGTCCCGTCACTGTCCTACGTGGCCCAATTGCTACCTTCAGTGGTCCCGTCGTTGCCTGCTGTGGCCCCGCATGATCTGCCCTTCGTGGCCCCCGATCGTTCGCGCCCGTCGTGGCCCCATGCGCATGCCCTTCGCGGCCCCGTTGTCGCCATTCGTGGCCCCCTTCCTGCCCTTCGTGGCCCCGCTGTCGCCCTTCGTGGCCCCCTCGCTGCCCTTCGTGGCCCCGTTGCTGCCCTCAGTGGCCCCGTCTTTGCCCTCCGCGGCCCAATATACGTATGCCCTTCGTGGCCCCCGCTCGTTTGCGCTCTTCGTGGCCCCATACGCATTCCCTTCGTGTCCCCGCTGTCGCCCTTCGTGGCCTACTTCGTGTCCTTGTGGCCCTGCTGTCGTTCTCTCTTGCTCTCGCTTTCGCTCGTCGTCGTCGTCGCCGTCGTCGTCACCGTCGTCGTCACCGTCGTCGTCGACGTCGTCGTCGTCGTCGTCGTCGTGGTCGGTTCCCTGTCCGTCCCTCTTGGGGTCGGGTCGACGGTCCGCGGCCGCCCCGCCGATCAGCGCTGCCGCTGGCGAGGCCGACGGTCCGCGGCCGCCCCGCCGCTTGCCGGGGCCCGGCCTGCGGGGAAGAAAGGTATACCCCTCAAAAGGGGTTCGATCGAAGACGAAGAGGGCGGGTATCGAGGGTTTGGAAAATACGCGTTATTGGACACTCGAGCATATAAGGGCGAACAGCATTAAAATTGTTGTTGCTGTTGCTGTTGCTGTTGCTGTTGTTGTTGATGCTGTTGGTGTTGGTGTTGTTGATGTTGTTGTTGCTGTTGCTGTTGCTGTTGCTGTTGTTGTTGTTGCTGATGTTGTTGTTGTTGTTGTTGTTGTTGTTGTTGTTGTTGTTGTTGTTGTTGTTGTTGTTCTCTCTCTCTCTCTCTCCCTCCCTCCCTCCCTCTCTCTCTCTCTCTCTCTCTCTCTCCCCCCTTCACCGAATCGCCCCACCCAGCACGCCACGCCCGGCAACCCAACTGCGCCGCGACTCCGCGCTGGGCTCCTCGCTCGCCGCGCCCCTGCCCAGCAACAAAACGGGCGGCCCTCGGGCGCCCAGGCGTTCGAGGCACAGGAGGGCCATGAATCGAATCGACAAGCGGATCAGCGATCGAAATGAATAGAGAGAGAGAAAGAGAAAGAGACACCCACTGACGGGCAGATCCCGGCCCAGCGCGGGGCGTGGGTATGGCACCGCAGTGCCTCACATGTGCAGGTACATGTTGGCTTTCACCACGTTGTGGAACATAATTCTTTTTTCCTCATATTTCCACCGCTTCGTGTCTGCAACACATTCAATCCAGTTTGCCCCATCCACGTTGTAACCGGCGTTGCGTAGAAATTATAATATACTAGAATTCGAACGTTTTGGGGCTGGTGCTGCCCGCAGCCTTTCGCCCTCGGGCACTCCGAAATGAATAGGGAACCGAAACGTGGCACAAGCATAAGACCTCGGAGGTCCGCGCAGCTTTCTCACATCGGCGCCAGGGCCCCCTGGCGGCGCCTCCGGCGCCCCCCCTGGCGAGCTTCGCGCGCCAAGGAGGAGGGTTCAGCGCGGACACTTGCCGTTTCCCTAGTGCCCTAGTGAATCGGATCGGCGCAAATCGACAGCCAAGGCGGGAGAAGTCGGATCGGCGGACATCGGCAGGCTCACAGGGCCTCCACCGAGACACCGAGATCCAGATGGAGATCCGGAGCCGAAGCGCATCGGAATCGAAGCCGATCCAGGCCGAACCGAATCGGGCTGGAGGAACCGAGCTGAGCACTGTGTACGCACACTCAATGGCTGGCGGGGGCGCCCCGGCGATTGTCGGTGCCGCCGCCCAGGAAAGCCCGCGCCGGGGCCCGAGCGGACGGGAGAGCCCGCGGGCCCCGAGGGCAGCGCGGGGCGCCGCGCGGGGCCGCGAAGGCGCTCCCGCGCAGGCGGGCGCGGCAGGTCACGTCGACACCGGCAGCGGCCGATGCTCTTGCCGTTCGCGGCAACGCTCGCGATCCCCCCCCTCTTCGACTCCCCACCGAAAACCGGAGGACCTGGGACAAGCTGTACACAGGGGAGCAAGAAGTGGCAGGAGCAAGAAGTGGCAGGAGCTGTTCGCGGTAACGCTCGTGATCCCCCCCTTCCACGCCCCGTCGAAAACCGGAGGAGGACCTGGGACAAGCTGTGCACAGGGGGCCAAGAGGTGGCAGGAGCAGGAAAACGTGGAGGTCCGCGCAGATTCCTCGGATGGGCGCGGGGCCCCCCTCCCTGGCGCGCGGAGCGCTGCGCCAGGGGCGGCGCCGGAGGCCTGCGCGGACCTCCGCGTTTTCATGCCTACGACACTTTTCGTCGGCGGTGGACAAACCTCCCTTTACACAGCAAACCTCCCCTTAGTGGAAACGACCTGGGACCGAAATCGACGCACCTGGACCCGCAAAAATGACGGGCGCGACGCCCTCTCGCGAACCGAAAACGGCCAATTCCTTAATCGACGTGTCAGGGTAGGAGGTCTATCCACCTCCGATTCTGTTCCCCCGTGTACAACAGCTCAAGAGCACTGCACCCCTCCCCAACGAGAAGGGCTCCTGCCTCGGAGGCCCGACTGCGGGGGGGGGGAGCCAGGAACGGGGGGGGGGGCAAGGTTGGCGCATCGTGGCTGGGAGCCGCCCCCGCGGTCACTTTACGATTCCTGCGCGCGCCGTCTGGGCATTGGCTCGTGATGACCCCCCTCCCCTCTCCCCCGCTCCCGTTGGTCACTTCACGATTCGTGCCCACGCAATCTTGGAATTGGCCAGCCTTGAGCATTCCCGGACCGCGCTGGCGCGAATCGTGCCGTGACGAGCCCCCCCCCCACTCAAATCTGTCGAGCCAGATCGATCTGTGAGGGTCCCGGGGCCCAAAATTGGACGGGAACGCCCTGTGCGATAAGAAGCAACGCCACGATCTCAAGTCGGCGGCGAGCCCGGGGAAGAAGTGAAAAGGGGCGAGCCTTCTCAGAAGGCTCGGAGTCTCCCAGCCTTCTGAGAAGTGTTCTAAGCCTCCCGCGAAGACGCAGCAAACCTCCCAGAAGGCGCGAGGGCTTCTGAGAAGCCCCGTCGATTTCTGAGAAAGCCTTCTCCTTCTCATTTCCCCCCTCGCTCGCCGCAGACCCCCAGTCACGCCCGTTATTGTCAGGGGGTGAAACGAAAACGGTCTCCAGCAAGGCGCGCCGGCGAGGCACTCGCCCTCCTGCCGACGCTCGGCAGGCCGATGGTGGCCGAAGCACGGGGGGCGCCCTGCTCACTCGAGGCAGACCAGCAACGGAGAGAAGTGGATGTGATCACAGCCGCTCGAGAAGAGCCACTGCCTCAAGACACAACCGCGACGAGGACAACATCGGCGAGGACGAATCGGGAATCCCTGAGATCCGGCGGCTCTGGAGGATGCTTCGGGCGCCGCGGCCTTCTCAGAGGGCTCCAGAACGCTCTGACATCGTTCTCGCTCTGGGACGGATTCATCCTCGTCCTAGCCCCGTCCGAGTCCCTCACTCGGTGAGGGCAGCTCACCATGAATTCACGCTTGCAAAATGCTTTGACCACTGGCTGGACCAGGTGATCTTTCAGCGTCCTGTGCTGCAACTTCCTTGCCGAAATTGCGGCAGCCCTGCCAGTTCTGTGCTTGGTAAAAACTGTTCTTACGGTTTGCCACCCTCCTGGTCCGAGGTCCAGAATGACAGATTGTCGCGAAGCAGCTGCATGATGAGGGTGGTATCGTTGGACGAGTCCTCTCCGACGATGTCAAGCTCGGCGATCGCGTCCTCCAAAGCGACGCGCGCCATGGAGCACGCCTCGTCCAGATTCGCCAACACCTCGAATTGAAAAACGGCGAAGTTCAGTGCAAGCCCGAGACGGATCGGGTGCGTCGCTGCCAGGTCCCTGGCAAGCGCTTGCGCTTCCTCGTAGGCAGATGTGGCATCATTCGACGCCTTTACCTTGGCATCGCTGGTGGTGTGTTCGGCAATGTAGCGATAGTAGTCGGCCTTCATCTTATGATAGAAAACCTTGCTCTCGCCTTTGGTTGCCTTGCAGATGAGACCGCCGTCCAACAGTTCAAGGAGTTTCGAACAAAATTCATCGAGTTCGGCCCCTATCTTGTCGCAGTACTCCGTAGCTAATAGTGCCTGCTCATCGTTGCCCCTGCTGATCTCCCTTTGCTTCACTGCGGTCGCGATACGCCACGCTGTGCGGCGCGAACCCACGGCGTTCTTGAAGGCCACGAACAAGAGGTTGCGCTCTTCAGCCGAAAGCTCGTCTCCCAACCTCGCCACCGTCTCCATGTGGGCCGCCATCTCGTCATAACGCCCCGTCTGCTCCGCGAGCTTCGCGAAGTAGGCCTCCCTCTCGCAGTTCACTGCCATCTCTGCAACCAGCGCTGTCTTCGAGGAACCACCAGTGGCATAAGCACACGCTTCAAGAGATCCGCACGGACTTTTTGAATCTGCTCTGGCCCCCTCGCCCTGGCGCCTCAGGGGGGACCAGCGCCAATCCGAGAACTCCGAGCGGAACTCCGAGAGCTCATGTTTATGCCAATTGTCGTTCCTCGATAGCCGGGTACTCCGAGTTTCTCAATAAGCATCGCTGGGGCGTCACCCCCGCCGACAGCCCCGCATCGTCCCCCGTCGCGGGCAGCCCCGTCGGGGGAGTGCCCCCCCACGCTTATCAAGAAACCCACGACAGATGGGCCCGCGGCCGCTGCGACGTGTCTACGATCTGAGTGGGAGTCGGATCACAGTCTTTAAACACGCGAGTATTCGGGCCAGCATGCTGCTACGGAGGAGGACCAGGGGCGGGGCAGAGAGGCGCTCCTTCAGAAAGGGGGGCGGCCCGAGGAAGCGAGGCTGTTCAGCGCTTTGGCGCATATCAGCGCCTTCTCGGGCGCCCTTGGCGCCGCGGCTGCACCGCTCGTCGAAGCTCTGACGAGCAAGCGCCCCAGGACAAGTCTCGGGGGTCGGAGGGGGTGGAGGAGGGCGGAGGTGGAGGAGGGATGCAGGTCGGATCGACTCGACAGGAGAAAACGTTGAACTCCGCAAGCCCGCCTGGGCCCGCCCTCCCTCTTGCGGGGGCCCGCAAGGGTGGAACGCGGAGCTCGAACACAGGTCAGAAGCATTTGTACTCCGGCCAGCCATGCGGGCAAAAACCACCCAGGCCCCAACCTCGCCATCGCTCGGACGTCCATTCCCCGTATAGTTTTCGGCGTCGTGCGTGTATGGTGTCGCAAGATGGCCCGAACTACTCCTCGATGGTCCTCGCCGAGAGAACAAATCACACGCCCGAGCGATGCCAAGCAACCATCCAGCCTGGCGAGGGAGGCGAAGGAAGGAGGGACGAGGGAGGAGGGTCGAGAAAGGAGGAAGGAGAGGAGGGAGGAACTAGAGGAGGGAGGAGGGCGGAGGGAGGGAGGAGGGAGGAGGGACGAGGGAGGAGGGACGAGGGAGGAGGGACAAGGAAGGGGGCGGGAGACGGGGTGTCCCCGCAGTGGGGAGGGAGGAGGGACGAGGGAGGAGGGACGAGGGAGGAGGGACAAGGAAGGGGGCGGGAGACGGGGTGTCCCCGCAGTGGGAGGCCCACCATCCAGGGAGCGCGCGGCGGCGAGGCCCGAAGCTCGCGCAGGAGGGGGGGGGGCAGCACGACAGACGGAGCGGTCCGCCAGCTGGTCGCGGTGGGCCGCGCCCGGCGGGCGCTCGAAGCGCCCCCGGGCAGCACGAGTTCCCCCTCCTCCTCCGCCTTCTCTTCCTCCCACTTCCCTTCTCCTCCTCCTCCTCTTCCCTCTTCCCTTTCCTCGTCCTCCTCCCTCCTCCTCTCCTTCGTCCATTCTCCTCATCGTGTCATCCTGTTCCTCCTCCTCTCCTCCTCCTCCTCCTCCTCCTCCTCCTCCTCTCCTCCTCCCTCCTCTCCTCCTCCTCCCTCCTCTTCCTCTTATTCCTCCTCCTCCTCGTCTCCTCCCCCACCCCGGCCAGCCGCCCGGCGCTTCAAGATACCCCAGGGCGCAGGGTAAACAATGCCTGCCCAGTGAAACCCATCAGACAACATCCTCCTGCGCTTGATACGCACAAGAGGAGGACCAGAGTAAACCCAAGATGTACGATCGGTGCCCTCCCTCCTCCGTCCTCCCTCCCCTCCCGAGTTCACCCCGTATCAGGCCCCGCAAGACCTCCTTGTGCTCCAAGAGAAGCGCCCCCCTCCAAGACGAGCGCCGCATGGGCCTGCCATTCAAGCGAGACCGCGCTTCTGGAAAGGAGATGCCCGGCTTCCTTCCAGCGAGCGAATAGAAACGCGACTAGGTAGGCTCACCAAGCGCACAGCATGTCCAACGAACGTCCCGCTTTCTGAAGAGACCGCCCCCCATCCGCGCGACTGGTCCAGGCGATGTTTCTGCTGATTGCGCGCAGGAAGTCACATGCGAGAGCTGAGGGGGGGGGGGGAAGAGGGGGGGGGAGGAGGAGGAGTAGGAGGAGGAGGAGGAGGAGGAGGAGAAGGAGGAGGGGGAGGGGGAGGGGGGGGAGGAGGGGGGGGGGGGGGAGGAGGAGGTGGAGGAGGAGGAAGAGGGGGGGGAGGAGGAGGAGGAGGAGAAGGGGAGGGGGGAGGGGGGGAGGAGGAGGATGAGGGGGAGGGGGAGGAGGAGGAGGAGGAGGAGGTGGAGGAGTTTTTGTCCCTTTCCACCGCAGGCGCACACACCAAATCCATGTGTCAGGTCCGTACTAAAAATCTCAATGCAAAGAGGCCGTGCAACCGACATGCAGGGAGGGGGGGGAGAGGCAGCAGCAGAGGCAGGCAAAGAGAAGCGGCGGCGGGTACTCTGCTCCGAGTGCACATGATCCCTGGCGGGCGCGCCCCCCCAGGCACACAGAACAAAAGGGGATCGACACTCGAGCATCCGCCCCATGCCGCGCTCACTCCACGGCTGACCGAGGGCCCACCCAACACCGCAGCAAGCAAGAGCAGACAAAAGGGGCACGCCCCAAAAACGAGAATCCAACACAGAGAGGGAGGGAATACCTGATGGCAGGCGGCCACAGTGCCTCGAACATCGTCGGGAACCTGAGGGCGAGCGGGGAACGCTCCCTCGCTTCCTCGCGCGGGGCGGCAGCCGGGGCGCCTCGAACTTCGTCGGGAACCTGAGGGCGGCGGCGGGGCGCAGAAGAGGAGAACGACCTCCTCCGCGCCGGACGCAACGGGTGTCTGGAGGCGCCGCGGCTTGGCGTCGCGGGAGGGCCACCCTACCCTACCGATGAGCGAACGACCCACGGCCAAGCGAAACGGACCGCCCGCCCGTCGGGGAACCAGAAGTTCACGGACTCCAGGAGAGAAGCACGGGCAAGGCGGCAGAGAGAGGCGGGGGGGCGGCGCGGCAAGAGAGGCACACTCTCCCGCGCACCGTCCAGTCTTCGCCTGCGAGCGGAGAGGTCACAGAGAGCACTGACAGGCTCTCACAACCCAGGCTACAACACGGGGCCCTGAATTAACCAGAAGAATCAGTGCAGAAACGGCACAACAGAAAGTAAACCTCGGAAAACCAGCCAGCCAACCCGAGAGACCCACAAGGGTCCCATCACACTCTGACAGCATCATGCAAGGACCAAAATCAGGAGGGGCCACAGGGGAAAAGGGGAACAAAAAGAAAAGGGACACGGCGACTCAGGAGAGGGGGGGGCGCGGCAGGAGGAGCAGGAGAGGCAGGGGGAGGGGCGGCAGCAGCAGCAGGCGCCCTCAGAACACGAAGGGCCTCGTTTAGCCGGGGGTGCCGACGGGGCAACTGCCGAAGCCTGGCTTTAATCAGGAAGTCCCCCGGCTGGACCGAACCAGTCCTGCGAGCATTGTGCGCTGCCAAAAAACAATATATTAAGGCGCGCCCCACTAGGTCTCGTGACCGTCCCCACTGTGGCCCCAGACAACAGAGCGTGAGGAGCCAGTCCTCACCCGTGAGAGCCTCGGCCCAGGTCCTCAGAAGTCCACCGCGGGGGAATATATCAGTCAGCCCAGCCTTCAACTTGGGGCACACGCGATAATGCCTCAGATCGTCATTGGCCACATCCAGAGGACACCCAAATGCACAGCCCACCACCATGGTATGCAGACGACTAGAGGTACATACTCCTCGGCAGAGCACTCTAAGGACCCCCGTGACGAGGTGCATCGTGCTGTCCTTCTCCACTTTACGCATCCTCTGGGCAAACACCTGAAAGTCAGCAACAGTAAAACGGTCGGGGCCCACCCACTTGGACACCCTCTGCACCGTGGTGCGGAGGGGAACAGTGGGTCGCGGAGTCCTCTGAGCTTGCGCATAGCTTTCTTCTGAAGGGATTTCTTGGGGATGGGTTCCAGGGTCGGGATCGAGAAATTGCCTACTTCATTCACCGTCGTCCTCATCCAGGAAGACTTCCACCGGGGCCAGCTCAGTCGAGCAGGAATGGAGTTATCGTCATCCAGGGAAACCGTCAAGGACTCCATCTCATACTGGACAGCATCAATACTGGAGCAGGACATCAACACCCGAAACTTGATAGCCTTCGAAAAACAATCGATGTCCAGGCACTCTAGAGAGGCCCCAAGCGCACGCAGGCCCGTCAGCATCTCTCTCAAGAAGGCATGGCGGGGACCAGCAGTGATCACCTGAAGGGCCTCATTATACGCTTTCCGAAGAGCCGTAGTCGCAGGACAGAGTTGTAGCTGGTACGTCAATATCGACATGCAGTGCGAGTGAAAAAGACGAATAGTCTGAGGCAGTCCTAGCCCAAGACCGCGGAGCCTCCGAACCGTCATCCAGAACTTGGGAATGGCATTGCTCCATACTTTATCCAAGGCACCAGGCCCAAGCCAAAATCCCAGGTACAAAACAACGCGAACAAACCCAATGCGATGATACTCACTCCCCTTGGCACGAAGGTGGGCAACTAATCTATCAGGATCAAGCGAGCAAATCACCAACACCTTACATTTAGGAATGTTCAACCCCAGTCCTACCGCATGTTCCAACTTACGGAGGAGCGAAAGGGTCGGCTGAAGGTCCGTCAGGATGTTGGGAAGGCAGAGCGCGAGATCATCAGCGCATGCTCTAATTCGGGGGACCTGGCCAGTGAGCCTAGACCTCATCCAGCACAATACTGGGTCTAGCGCATAAGCGAAGAGTAGCATCGACGCAGGATCTCCCTGCCGCACACCACGTTCCACCGAAAACTCGATACCAGCAGTCCCAGGGAAGTGGATAACAGCCACATTGCCACGGCATAGCTCACGATAGAAACCACAAGCTTCACCAGGAACACCCATAGCATCCAAGACCGCTAGGATCCAGGAGACGATCAGAGAGGGGAACGCGGCCTTAAAGCCCGCGAAGAGAATTCCCGAGCGATCCCCACCA